AACCAGTGATGGGGGGAAATGAGGGTCCCCTGGCAGAGGCGTCAGGCCTGGGCAAGGGGCTGATCCTGTGATTGGAGGGTGATGGGGGTCAACGCCTGAGGGCTCCCAGTATGTGAGAGGGGGCAGGCTGGGCTGAGGGACACCCCCCCCACACCCACCCAGTGCACGAATTTCATGCACCCGGCCCCTAGTTATTAATAATTATGTATAGCAGGGTATTGTAAAAATCAAGTTTCGAAATTTTTATTATAATGCTTCTTACATATCGTTATACTGGCTGGGCCGCCAAAATACTCATTGTGGGCTGCAAGTTTGACATGCTTGCTCTACTGGGATCAGATTAGTAGGTGCTGAGTGAGCACTCTGTGCCAGGGGCTGTGACTAATGCTGTGGGAACCAGACATATGTGTTACCTCTATAGAGCTGGCAATCTGTTCAGGGAGACGTAGCACAAATGTGTGAAAAATGATTTAGGTTTGACTACTAGTTCTAAATAGTAGAAGAGATAACTCAAAGCAAAGTGGTTACCACAGACCATGGAAAGGAAAATCTCTGTGGATGCTTAAAGTACTGAAAGTGTACTTCAGGCTGGAGCAGTCACAATCATTCATGAAGGAAGTTGCACTTGAACTTGGTCTTGAGCAGTCATTCCACAGCAGCTCCCTCGGAGGATGTAAGAGCAGCCAGATGCTCTTACCTTCTGGACCAAGTGCCTGGAAACCACCGGTGGGCAGCAGGGGTGAGGGAGTGCAGTCAGCTTGACTCTTGGAATTTCAGCCTCCTTAGGTCCCAGCTAAGTGAAAGGTGCTCAGGACATTGCTGTGAGGTGGAGACAGAGAAAGGCAGCATTGCTGTGTGCAGGGACATGTGTGCTATGCACTGTACGCTGGTATTTGTAAGTGATGCTACTGTCCTATAACGGGGAAAGGACACAGGCATCCTGTCTTTGAAAAGCTCAATGGACAGCAGAGCTTTCCTGGGACTCAGGGTGAGCTAATTGCCACCCTTTGATAAAGGTGTATAGTACCCATACTGTGTTTCTGTGTATTTGGTTTGTTTGTTTCATTACTGACCACTGTCTTCCTGGATACAATGCCGTGCTTATCTTAGGCCGTTGTAGCGAGGCTCTACTCAGCCAGAAGCCAGCCTCCCCTGAGAAAAGGCCCGGCAAGCCCCCTCCCCACCCCAACC